CCTCTTGTGTGAATTCTGTGATCTTATCAATAAATTTGTAGTTATATCATAATGTTTTGTTGTAAATTTCTTCTTACTTGAAGGGGCTATGATGATGTGCCCAAGCAGATGTCGCAAGGAGATCCTGGAGGTCCTGAGTGCAGGCAACCGATTTCCTTGCTGTTTTATACTGCTTGTATACATTTTGATAATTCGTCAACAGCAAAAGCAATGGTATCTTCTTCTTCATCATCTTCATCTTTTTCTTCAGACCCAAAACCAAACGTATTGCATGCACCATCATCCTTTATTTTATTTTGATGATGAAAACTGGGCAATTCTGAGCCTTCTTTATTCGTGTCTTTCTATCAATTGATTTGCATAATTTTACTTAAATGATTCTTAATTGGATTTGCTTTGCGATAACTGAATCTACATCGTTGCGTGATACTTATACAAAGGAGTCTGTGCCAGCTCTTCACAGGATTCGGAAAGCTGATGATAACTTTCATCACATGAAATTTTAATGGCTTTAAATTCAATCATCATTTTTTTCATCGCTTGCAGAAAGTATCTTGTTGAGGCAACTGAAGAAGCATCAATTGCTTATAATAAAGCGGTATGGTTTCTTTATTTGATAAGTTTGTCCTTGTAAGATTTCATGCATTTTGGAGTCATATAAATGCCATATGCTAATTGCTTTAATGCTTCCATCCAATTGACACAAGGGAAGCAGCTTATACTTATGATCTCAAGGAAAATTACAAGGAGTAATCATTCAAAAATCTTGAATTTTGGACCATGTTCATACCATCTTATGAAACTAATTCATCTTTATTTCATGTTGTACTATTGAACAAGCTATACCCTACCAATAGATGATATCCCTTAATGGCCATTGGATCAGACCTATTTATGCTACTAATTTTTGTCATATAGAGTCTACGAGCCACCTTTCGTTCTTTTACACACAATAAACTCTAGGTCCATTTCACATTTCATGCAACCTGTAAAGTGTAGGAAGGGTGTTAACTCTAAGGTTTTGTTTGGGACGACTTTCTTTCTGCTTCTTATAACAGTTTTTTAATACAAAAATTAAAAAGCTGTTTTATGAAACAGTAAAAAAGCCGTCCCAAACCAAGCCTAAGGCTTCGTTTGGGACGGCTTTCTTGATGCTTATTATAGCAACTTTCTAGTAAAAAATTAAATTTTTTTACTAAAAAACTGCTTCAGGAAGCATCGAGAAAGTCATCCTAGAGGAAGCCTAAATCAAAGTGTTCTATTTTGACTTGAGTTGAAAGCTTGGAAGATTATAGTTTGTACTTTCAATTAGAAAGAACGGCAATTTTAGAGTTTGTTTGGTTTCAAGTGAGAGTAGGTTTAATGCCATTGAGCAACATGGATGGACTGTTGATGGAATCCTCAGCTGGCAACTGTTGTTGCTATACATTTACAATTTTAGTTAAAATAAATATTTAGAATGGTGCACCTCTAATGTTCTCTTATTTCTGAGGTTTTTATTTTTTTCATTTGATAGATGCTTCGGTCATGATTTCAGAAGGCTGCATGACTAATACAACCTATTTTCGAGGCTCTTGTCATTGCATTTGTTGTTTTGTTTCAGCTTGCATAGCATTCTGTCTGATTTACAGGTAAATCTGATATTCAATCGTAATGTTCTGAGTGCATGTCTTTTAGCTTAAAGAGGCTATTATGATACGAGGCGAGGAGATCTTGGAAGGTCAAAATATTGGCAACCGATTTTCCTCTGCCTTGATTTTGTTTCTTCAACAATGTGTTCCTGGAAGTTGATTTCAACATATCACAATAATGCCCAAAGAAAGCTATTGTGTACATTCTAATTCTTAAATGAATATGATGATCTAAATAGGGCAAGTCAAAAAATTGGCGAGGAGATCTTGGAAGGTCAAAATATTGGCAACGGATTTTCCTCTGCCTTGATTTTGTTTGTTCAACAATGTGTTCCTGGAAGTTGATTTCAAAAGGTCACGATAATACCCAAAGAAAGCTATTGCTACATTCTAACTCTTAAATGAATATCATGATCTAAATAGGGCAAGTCTGAGCCTCATTTATTCTGTTTGTTTAGTCTGCAAGAACCTGCTAAAAGTTTTTACGTGTGTTTTTATTTAATTGACTCTTTGAACTAGCGGTGTATACGCATTTTTAATGAAGATTTACTTTTTTAAGTGACTCTGCTAAATGCTACGTTTTAGTTGCTACAACATATGTTTTTATGTAATCTCAGATGCATGAAAATGCTAATATGTTTATTAAGCCTTGCTGTTGTTACTAGTATATCATTGCCTTGTTTATCATTATTATTATTATTATTATTATTATTATTATTTTTGTAACGCACTTGAGCAGGAAGAAACAGAACACAAGAATAAGTTCTCCCTCTCTCATTATCTCTTTTTTGAAGAGGGAAAAAGCTTTTGGTTATTATACAAAATTATCCCTATTTAAAGAAACAAATAACTAGAGAATCATGCATAATTGCCTTATTATAATCCTACACCCAAATATAGATGGAGATCGGCGTAATCCAGGCAAGCTTCCCACGGATGTCCGTATTGGTTGGGGGATCAAGGGATGGTTGGGATTTTAACATATTGAAGGTTGATATTTACAGCAATACAATTTTTTGTTCAAATCTGAAGATAAGCTGTTGTATTTATCTGCACCATCTAGTGGCACCACAAAAGATGCTGTGGAAATATTGGTAAACAACTTGAACTATGTTTATCATTTTGCTCTATGTTATCTTGCCTATTTCCTTTCCGAATGCGTTGCTTGTGTTGGTTTTATGGTGAACATCTCTCGTTGCTTATTTATTTCATTTGGTGGCAGGCTTGCAATGGTTGAGATAGAGCTTTTTTCCATCCTCAACAATTGGTTTATCAAAACATAATTTTGTTGCCTTCAACAGTCTGTATGGGTTGCTTTTCCCAACAAGTCGGATGAAGTTTATCTCAGTACTGTATCTTTTTCTAGCCAGTTGGCTTGACTCAATTGCACTCCTCTTTGCAGCACCTGAAACAGACTCTTCTAGAAAAGAAGTTGGGCAGTTAAAATTGAAAAAAAAAAACACCATATATCTTTTGGTAAATATAGCTCAAACATTTAAAAGGACAATTTCTTTTATGTTTGTTGTACAAGTTCCTCTATTATATCATCTCTATAAACAAATGGAATGAAAATTAGCATCTCAAACAAAAAATTAATATATAATTATTCATCTTTCTCCTTTCTCTGTTATCTTTTTTAGTCATTGTGCCATCCTCTTCTGTGAATTCTGTGAGTTTATCAGTAAATTTGTAGTTATATCATAATGTGTTGTAAATTTCTTCTTACATGAAGGGGGCTATGATGATGTGCCCAAGCAGACGTCACAAGTTGATCCTGGAAGGCCTAAATGCAGGCAACCGATTTCCTTGCTGAGTCATACTGCTTGTATTCTTTTTGATAATTCTTCAACAGCAGCAGCAACGGTATCTTCATCATCATCTTTTTCTTCTTCTTCTTCTTTTGTTTTCGTGTTCTTCCAGTAGTTTGTTAATATTTTATTGAAAAATAGATGCAAGAAAGATTGTCCAGTGTAAAACTAACTTTAAAATGTGAAGACAAGCTGTTGTACTTAAACTCATCGAGCACATCATCTGCCTCATCAACAGCATCTTGCAGCTGCCATATACATTTGTTGAGAGCCGGGTTCTGATCATGGGACAAGGGACAAATGAGATTTAATAATGTGATCTAGGCCTCCCACGGATCTTCATGCCGACCATGGGATCAAGGGTCAAAGGATGGTTGGGATTTTAACATATTGAAGGTTGATATTTACAGCAATACAATTTTTGTTCAAATCTGAAGATAAGCTGTTGTATTTATCTGAATCATCTAGTGGCGCCACAAAAGATGCTGTGGAAATATTGGTAAACAACTTGAACTATGTTTATCATTCTGCTCTATGTTGTCTTGCCTGCTTCCTTTCCCAATGCGTTGCTTGTGTTGGTTTTATGGTGAACATCCCTTGTTGCTTCTTTACTTCATTTGGTGGCAGGCTTGCAGCAATGGTTGAGATAGAGCTTTTTGCCATCCTCAACAATTGGTTTATCGAAACATAATTTTCTTGCCTTCAACAGTCTGTATGGGTTGCTTTTCTCAACAAGTCGGATGAAGTTTATCTCAGTACTGTATCTTTTTCTAGCTAGTTGGCTTGACTCAATTGCACCCCTATTTGCAGCCACCCGAAACAGACTCTTCCAGAAAAGAAGTTGGGCTGTTCAAATTGAAAAAAATACCAAATATCTTTTGGTAAATATAGTTCAGACATTTAAAAGGACAAATTCTTTTATGTTTGTTTTGCAAGTTCCTCTATTATATTATCTCTATAAACAAATGGCATTAAAATTAGCATCCCAAACAAAATTTTTATATATAATTATTCATCTTTCTCCTCCATCTGTTATCCTTTTTAGTCTTTGTGCCATCCTCTTGTGTGAATTCTGTGATTTTATCAATAGATTTGTAGTTATATCATAATGTTTTGTTTTAAATGTCTTCTTACTTGAAGGGGCTATGATGATGTGCCCAAGCAGATGTCGCAAGGTGATCCTGGAGGTCCTAAATGCAGGCAACCGATTTCCTTGCTGTTTCATACTGCTTTTATTCATTTTGATAATTCGTCAACAGCAGGAACAACGGTATCTTCATCACCTTATTCTTCTTCTTCTTTTTCTTCAGACCCTACATATTATTTTGATGATGAAAACTTGGCAATTCTGAGTTTCCTTTATTGGTGTCTTTCGATCAATTGATTTACATAATTTTTACTTAAATGATTCTTAATTAGATTTGCTTTGCGATAACTGAATCTACATCCTACCATAATTTTATTTTTCATGGCTATGTTGAAATTGTATTATTTTATTCTTTACACTCAGACATCAACTTACAAATATGCTTGTGTTGGACCTCAGTATTTCTCTCACCATTATACTTCTTCTACCTTGGTTATTTGGCCTAGTACAACCTTCATTCTAGGCTTTGGGTGTTCTTATTGATACTAATGCTTTGCTTTGCTCTAGTTTATGTTTTATAAAATTATTTTTAAACGATCCTTAATTCAATTTGTTCTGTAATTCTTAATCTGCCACATGCTGGAGTTTTCTTTTGAGTTATGCCTTAAATGGATGATTTTTTTCTTCAATCTCACGCATTAACATGCAAATATGTTGTGTTGGACCTCAACTTTGTTGCTTTCACAACTAACCTTTTTTTGTTTTTGTGTTCTTCCAATAGTTATTTAATATTTTATTGAAAAATAGATGCAAGAAAGATTGTCCAGTGTAAAACTAAACTTAAAATGTGGCGTTCGATTCCCAGTTATATGGTAATCATCATAGAAATCCCACCAATTTTGGTCTCGTTTTATGTTCATCTTTTAGTAATGGACTTAAAGAGAATAGGCAAGGCTTTGTTTCGAATAGCTTTTGCATACTTTTTTTGTTAATTTAAAAAAAAAATTATTGAGAAGTTATTTTATAAAGTAGTAAGAAATTTATTTCAAAGCTCAAGGTTTCATATTGCTTCTTAAAGCAGTTTTTTAATACAAAAATTTTAAAATTTGTACTAAAAAGTTATTTTAAGAAGCAGTAAGAAAGTTGTCTCAAATAATGTCTAAGTTAGTCCATTCATAATCTTTTGATGCCTTATTTATGGTTGAATATTTACAACTTGCAGTAAGGATTTGTTTGAGATTTTTTTTTTCAAATCAGTTTTTTATTAAAAAAAATTTAGAAAAATTTTTTAATTGAAAAGACGTTTTAGAATGCAAAAAGAAAATTATTCCTAAATATGATGGAGTGAAGTATTGGTTTGAATTGGCTTCTAGTATAGTAGTATATTAAGACAATCTGTACAACAAGAAAATGATTTAAAAGTATTAATGTCTTGATTTCTGATGGGATGAAAGAATCTTCAAAAAATTTAAAAGATAATGTCATGAATGATCTTATACCTTTAATTAGCAGATTTATGGTTCCAACTCAGTTGTTTGAGGCTTTTGATTAGTTTATTTTGTTTGTAACCATTTGATTAAATCAATTAAGTAATATTTAAATGATAATTTTTAGAAAAGAAACTATCAATATGATATTTAATTTAATTATTTTTACTGGTGAAGTCATATTGTTGGAATTTTTTCTAATTATTTAAACGTCAAATACTAATCCTAATTTTGGTTGTTATTATTACTATTTTTGTATTGTTTTCTCTTTAATTTGTAAAATTTTATGAAATGAAAAGGTATTTTTATAATCAGAAGAATAACTAAGTTATTTTTTACATAGTCAATATTATAGTTATCTCAAATGGATTTTTTTTTAACATAATTTTTTTAAAATTATTCAACTTAATATTTGTAATTAATTAATATTGATTTAGTATTTTAATTAGTACGAGTAGTAAAAATGCCTGTGCATGCATGTGATTAAAATTTTTAAAATAAAAATTCATATTATAAACATTTTAATTATATTATTATTATTAATATCCAAAAACTTATTAAATTTATTATCATAAATAACTATAATCACTAATGTTTATTTGCATGTGCACAAGTCTAGATGAATAAAAAATAAAATTTTAAAATTTAGTAAAAGTGTCATTAATTTTGCTAGTTTTATTGAATATGCATTAAATGTAAGTGAATATAAAATTTAAAATAAAAATTTATATAATGAATATTTTAATTATATTTTATTTAATGAAAAATAAAATTATTATCTTTATTTATATAATTAATTCAACAAAAGGCGCACTGAATTAAAATATGATATGAAGTTAGTACATTTGCTTATGAAGTGAAGTGATGACAAATTAAGTGCATAAGAAAATAAATCAATTTTGATTAATTTATTAATATTATAAATTCCAAGTTATATTTTAAGAAAAGTAAACAAAGAAAATAACCAACTGAAACATTATAATTCTTTTAGTTAGATACCAGTAGTGATCCATGATATAAATCCTAAATAAATGTTAACATACATCTTACAAATGAAAAAAGAAATCGGAGAAACAAGAGTATTGATTACAAACAATGAAATAGCAGGCAATTCATCCACCTTTCTTTGATCTGAGAACATGTCTGCCTTTGAGATCAATAGAGCCATCCTTAGTGAAAATTAAACAAAGAAAAGAAAATAATATATTGCATTTCATCAAAATTTATAAATGAATGTAAAAGAAAAAAAAATGAACAATTTTGAACATACCTCCAAGTTCATTCTTCCTTCCTCTGTTTTTTAAATCATAGATTAACTCCACGATTTCTTTTTATTCCATAGAATTAAAAACACCTATGTGCAATTCTAGGACATCCAAAATATTTAAGTTCATAGAGTACATTTCATCAAAATTCACAAATAAAAATGCACACGCACAAAGTGCACGTTGCTAGAAATGAATGAAAATAGTGCACTGATGTCATAGAAGAATCAAACAAAGATAATCAAACTTTAAAAAATAAAAAATTGCTTTTGAACAGCCCCAAACAACCCAATAAATATGAAAGAATCATATAATCACGTGCACAATTTACAGGTTGATAAGACTTCAAAAATTAATAGAAATATTATAAAATAAAAAAATATCAATATGAAAATTGCATATTACTAATCACAATACAAATATTTAGCTGAGAATTCTTTTTTATATATTGAAAATACTTTATATAATAATTAATTATAAATAGAACACAACTAACCAATTAGTTCCTTGAAAATTTGTAAAAAAAAAAA